TCTTTCCTGCCTATGCAGGGGGTCGGACTCGATGACCTATTGAGGTCCCTTCCGACCCTAACATCTGTGAATCTACACATAAGTAATAACCTGCTATTCTTTTCTATGATAAAATTCTGACTCATCCCTAAAAATCCCATCTGTTTACAAATTTTGAAACCACAAGTGATTTTACTCTTCTTTAAAAAATATTGTTTAAATTAATTCAGGCAGTTTTAGAACTGAATTTTGATGAGCCAGGTATAATAAACCTCCCTGTTTTCTTGCTGAACAAGCAAGTACTCTTCACTAGTTGAAGCATTTCAGTGGCCATGTTATGACTTGGACCCAGATCCATTTTAAAGCATATGCTGTGTGGATCTGACTTTCCTTATGGAGGTCATGAAAATCTTTATCCTTCCCCTAAACCGAATAACAGCGTTTTTTTAGGCAGTGCTAATGCAGTGATGCATAAGGTGCATAAATGCTTGGGAAAAGGCTATCAGCCTAGCCAGGAATTTTTTGACAAATACTTTTATTGGGCAGTCCCCCCATCAAAACCAAAACTTGTCACATTGATGGAACTCAATTTGGCAAGGCTTTGAAGGACTGGGATGGAATTTTGGTTCAAGATTGGAGAAGGAGAGACTATCCCAGAGTACTCTGATGGTTGGAACACTGTACCAGGATGTAGAAGAAAAGGTTTTGTCTAGCTGCTTTTCCAAATTTGGAGGAGGGACCTGACTATGAGATGCTTCCATTCCAGATGAGTACTATAACTACCAGATTGGAGGCTACTTTAGAGGTCTCTTTCTCTCCTGTTGAGTTTTATAATTTGATTATTGATTAGAACAAGGACTTAAACCTGGGGGGGGGTCTCTTTAGACGTGTTTTTTAGCATTACCGGCGCTACAAAAATAGAGCACTGTGAAAGATGTTCAGACACAGTGAGTTACAGTAGCGCTTATTATGATGCATTAAATCAGTACCTGTTGTTATAGGTACTACACTTAATGCGTTGTAATTATGGTTCATTAATGAAAGTTTAGATGTGTTGCTCTCAGTCCACCAGTTGGTGTGCTATAGAGTTAACAGAGAGGCAGGTTCTCTTGTCAAAGTGGTAAGGGGTTGCTCTTCTGCTGCTCTTCCCTCCTCCACCTCAAGGGAGGAAAGCCTGTCAGTGAGCCTGATCAGTGAGAGCCTGCCCTCTCCCCCACCAGGGAAAGGTAACTATTGGGCAATCTGTCAGTACTCGAGTGGGTAGCATTGGCCTCTGACAACACCACTGGTCCATGCCGTGGAAAGCAAAGCAAAGCTGCCCAGGTCCTCCTTCCTTTCCTCCTGCCTTGGAGGGGTCGGGCATGTGGGAGACGGACCTAGAGACCACCTGTGGCACTACATGTAACTGTTCAGTCATTACATACACTGAGTGCCCTGACTAAAGTTTGCTCTGGCCCAGGGCACATTTGAGTACATACTCCTGTTGTGAAGGAAATTGAAGTCTTGGTTACATCTTTATGTGGAGTAGGAACATTTTTTAACTCATGAAAATTACTAGGGAACTGGAAGACCATTCTTGCTTAGGTGAGCCAGTGTGGCTTTGGTCCCCAGAATAAGATGCAAACAGAAGAAGAAACTTTTGGCGTTTTGTATTAAATAGTCGGCTTGGCCCCCTTGTATCTAAAACTCTGAGTCACCTGATAAGAAGTACTTGGCTCTTTCTCCAAACAGTGAAAGGAGCCTATTTAGAGCCTCCTGAGTCCTCTGTTTTTTTCAGAAAGGAGATAGAGATGGAAGTTTCTAAGCAGCACTTGGAAAGCAACCTTCTGGTGTCAAGCATCATGTTCTGTTACCTTTAAAGGTAGCTGCCCCTGCCCAGTTCACCTACCTGAGTTGAAGCTTGTTCTGTCCTTGGAGCCACCTGGAATTTCTCTTCAACATGTTTTGAAAAATGATGTCTCAGCTTCTTTGGGGTCTGTTTTCTAACCTGTGTCTGCAAATAAGTTGCTCATTTGAGAGTGCAGGCCCAAGGTCTTTTACTTAAGTACTCAGCCTACCTTCTGAGAATTCCTGCTGCTTGTTAATTTCCAGTAGCATAGCTCTGGAGGTTGCATCTTTTTTAAGAATGGCAGCCCACTTATGAGTAACTGGAGTTTGTGAATATTTTGTCTGCAGCTGTTCATGGAACCTCCTTCCCTGTCATTGTAGAATTTTGTAATTGGGTAAATGAAAAAGAGGACAGTTGCAGGACTGGACTGGTGTAACCTTAGCTCTGTGAGTTCTCTCCCCCCTATCCTCAGGGGGTTAAACAGCCTTAAAATGGTTATGCTAGTGCAGGGGATAGACCCCAGTTTTCCAGTGTTACCTTGAAGTCAGCTTGTTTGTTCTGAATAGTCCAGTTGCTGTTACCTGCCAGGTCTCCTAAGGTGCCTTATCGTTTACTTATTTTGAGAGAGAATTTTCATTCTGTTTCTTAGACAGTTGTACGAGTTCTAGAAGATCCAAATGATTTACGTCATGATATAGAAAGAAGGAGAAAAGAAAGGCTGCTGAATGAAGATGAGCGAACGTTTCACATAAATGATGTAAATAAAAGGTAAGTGACCCTTTGCAAATGTATCTGCTTGCCTAAGTCTGAAGTAGAACATGGGGTTCATCAGATATTTTGTTGTTGTTCTGAAGATTTATCCGCAGTGGGAATTGTGCATGCTACAGTTGCTTCTGTAAGTCTGACCCCTGTCTTAGATCTCAAATTCCATTAAAATCTATGAATGCTCCTAGAACTTACTTTGTAGCAACAAAGAACTATCTTGAAAATGAGAACAATATCACTTCTAGTAGTAATTTAATTTCAGTTTTTGCTAAAAGATGCAATAAAAATAGTTATTATATCCAATTTTTGCTAAACTCCTATTTTAAGATTATACATAATACCTGTTTAAACAAAAGTAAAGCAGAACATAGTATATGATGATGCAAAAATAGATCAAATGAAGCAGTGGACAAGTAGTATGACAGGAATGGTATTTAATTGTTGGCCTTTATTCTTTGTGCAAATAATGCAAATCAACCTAGGGAGTATAGGACAGTCTCTGAATTGTTAGAGAAGCCATATTGGTTTTGGCTTTTGTTGTGATTAATTTTCCTCTTATTTCTTCAAAGAACTAATGAGACCATAAGTTGTTAATTTAAGTCATTTTTCTTCTTCGCACAATAACATATTCTGTTTGAATATGGAGTCCAACACCACCTGCCCACAACAACTCCAGATCTTATTCAAATGAATTGCAGTCTAGTAAAGGCCACTTGTTGTATATAGCTGTGTACCATGGATAGGTAGATTTCTAGGTCAAAAGAGGGCTTTATTAATCTTTGAAAAAGGGAAAGTTTGAGAGTCTCTGTCTGACTGCCTAAATGGTGTCATTTTCGATTCTTAAATTTCTTTTTTGTTTTCAATATAGGGAAAACGTTGGGTCAGTGATTTCCAGTGCATATCACAAGCCATTTGTCTAGAAGAGATTATAGAGCAGGGGGTGGCGAAGTTTTTGGGCAGAGTGCCAAAACCGCCTGTGACTTCAACTTGTAAGGTGTTGGTGTGCCAGAAGCAGACAGCAGGGGAGCTATGAGGGGCCCAATCCTTGTGGCAGCACAGACACAACCACAGCCCCTTCCACACCATCTGCTTGAAGGTGTGTATGCACCTGCTGCCAGCAATGAGCCAGGCCAGGGCTCTGCGGACCCCAGTGCAGGCTGCCTGCAACAGCTGGCCTGGTCTCTAAGTGGGCCCCTGCCACCCACCACAGAGCCAGGGCTGCTCGCAGTAGGTAGCAGGGAGACTGTGAGCAGCTGCACTGGTATCCATGGAGCCCCAGCCTGGTTCATTGCTAGGGGCAGGTGAGTGGTGGGAAAAGGACTGGGGCTGTGTTGCCACAACAAAGGTCAGGCCCCTCACAGCTCTCCTGCCATCTGCCCTGAGGCACATGTGCGAAGCAAAATGCTTTCATGTGGCACAGTGCTGGGGCTTACTGACCCCTGTTATAAATGTTGTTTAGCCATCCAAACAAGGATTTATGTGGAAAAGCAGGGCAGGGAGCTTCTAAAATGCACTTTTAAGGTATCTGATAGGCATACCTGAAATAATTTTAATCCAATAATTTAAATTTGTAAATTGAGCTCAAGTGCTCATATTAATCAGTCCCTTTCAGAGCACATGTTAGCTCCTCCCCCCCCCCCGATGTAGACAGAGATAAAAGCTAACTTTAGAGGTCTTTTCGATTTTATTTTTTTTATATAATAAAACCTTGGAGTCAGCACCCCATAAACCTGCTTTGTACAATAAAATGGACTCTACCTTTATCTGTATACACTTTTAGTGCTGCCAGTACTGACTTTCTGCCTGTCTCATTGTATAAAGATAAAACTTCACCCAAGGTTTGTTCTGTCCTAGTGCTTACATTTTCAATATAGTTATTCCAACTTAGATTTTTAAATAGATACCGAGGCACTTAAAAGAAGATTCCACCTATAACTCTTCCTGTGAAAACCAAACTCATTTCTTCCTTTTGTTATAAACCGTCCCCCAGCTCTGCAATATCTTGGCTTTAGCCATCTTGATTTTCAAGCCACCTGAGATGTAATACTGCTAAAAAGCATTTAATACCCTTTGGAGGCCTGTTTGGGATTGTGACATTAATAATGTGTCATCTGCATATTGCAAGACAGGAAAAGGGTTGTTCAGTGTCATGCATGTGTGGAATTGATTTTTCTTTAGCATGCATTTTAAGTCATTCAAGAATAGATCAACAAGTAGCAGAGCAAGCAAGCATCCTGTCTTAGTTGAGAAATGATTGGATAGGGCACAATCCTGTGATGCAACCTAGATCCTGTATTTGAATAGTAAATTGCAGTTTGCAGTTAATTCTAAGGGAATTAAAATTCTAACATCCATTGATGTTATGGCCAGTTTCTTCCATATTTTTAATCTGTATATAGAGTCAAAAACTCACTTTAGATTTATGAAGGCTCACTTTTAATAAAGGTGAGTGAACTGTAGTATACCTCATATACATCCATTGTTCCTATTAGCCAGGCTGTTGTAAGGAAGAGGAAATAAACTCCAGATCTTATTTATTTATTTATTTTTTATCATTTTAGAATTCCTCCTTCTGTACTGTAAAATCCTTGTGGAATTTCCCAGTTCACTAAATTACTTCTGTGAAGTCACTGTCTGCAATTCCTTCAAAGACCCAGAAAATTCCAAGAAAGGCTTCTTTTTTTTTTTTCTTAAAGACTGGTGTGTTCTTGCAGTGCCACACACCTGCAGCTTGATTAGCGATAATATTGAACACATACATTTCTCCTTACCTCAGTTTGCCTAGTTCATCTTTACTTCATTTTAAAATCAGCTGAATATAGATTGAATGACCTCTTCTACAGAAGAAATAGATGGGGGAGAACCTGCCAAAATATAACAAAATATTTATTTGTTATAGAGCTTGATGTAATGATATCTTGTTTCATGGCAGTGGTGGATAATTTTAAATTTGAAGTTTATTAAATGGGAAAGAGAGAATATCTAATGATAAGTAAATTAACTTGTGGTCTTGGAGCTGTGTACTCAGACTTCAGTAAGGGGTGAGGGAATTAATTTTCCTAAACTACAGTTTAGGCCCACACTGTTATTACATTGCCCTTATAAATAGAAATAAGAATTTTTCTGGGACATTGTACAAAGCACCCTATGAAATTTAACTGGTTTGACTTGCTGCTGTTGGAGTCTCATTGAAGATACCACAGCGGGTGTAGTTGGCACTCATTTAATAAGTATTTTCAAACAATAAGGACCTTACTATAAATGTAGTGAAATATGGATGCTAAATATCTTGCAGAGTTACCGTTCTTAAAAGGAGATGGCCAATTTAAATAGTCCCCAAAATATATCTTGATTCTTGGCAGTTGCTTTTCATTGTAAATCTTTTTCTTATAAGAATATTGATACTTCTGTGTTTATGATATATTAATTAAGAAGATATGTAGCTTAAGTAATGTGGCTGATTCAGGTGTGAACCTGAAACATGCAAGGGGCTTGTAGTATTATTTTATGTACAGCATTGTCTTTTTAATTTTTTGAAAAATCGCAACATTTTTAGTGTTTTTATTTAGAAGACTATTTAGTGGTGCCTATGCTGTCTTCATTACTGGAGTAAATGACTTTTTTTTTTAAATAGTGATGCAGGTTTAAATGTTTGAAACAGCTTTTTTAATTGAAACTTTGTAGATGATGAAAGAATAAAACCGAAATTTCAAGTCCTATAAAAGTAAGAAAGGGGTTTTGTGCAGGATCTAGAAAAGAGAAGTGTTTTGTCCTTTTGTAATGTCTGTGTTGCCTTGTGCGCCTCTGCTAGTTTTGGTGATATGGATCTTAAGGATTGTTTCATCCATGCAGAATTTCTTCTCAAGTTCATTTGATTTTTAAAGCTAGAAGAGATGTAGATTGTCTAATATGACTTCTAGTTTAGCAGTGGCCAAAACTGGATTTCACAGTTCCACTTTCAGAAATTATTCTTGTCTCCTTATTAAGGATATCTTGCATACCTTGTGACCAGTATGTGAGTACCTGAGGTTTGTATCTCTCAATCAGTGGGGCTTGTACTTGTAAATAGCTGGGTTTTTTAAAAACATCCTGCCCCTGTGTATAAAGAGAGACTATGGCTGTCCTGTGTACAGAATGTGGTTTGAGGAATACTGCTGGTGACTCTTTTTGGCTCCATGTGCATAGATTACTGTGACTTGAACAACTAAAACCTTTATTTTTTTATTAGAGTTGTAACACAAATTGTTGCTGGACAGCCACACAAGTTCAACTATAGTATATTTCAGCCAGCAGAGGGCAACCTTAAGCAATCTTTAAAATCACTGAATTGTTTGTTGTGGGTTACCATGGTGAGGATTCCAAAAAGCAAAAATGTACCTGCTGGTTTATTGTCTATAAATTATTTAAAATAATTGTATGTAATTTTGCTTTCAGCAAAACCAGGCCACTAGTGATTTGTCAATTAATGTGCCAGTTTAATATTTTTCTTAATACTTTGCTCTATTCTTGGTGTCTTTTAAAGCACAGGTAACTTTTATAATAGCATAGTTTTGAAATAGTGCTGGCTTAGATGTATTTTTTTTATTGCCTTTTGTTCAGGAACAACCAGAGCTGCAGCTTTTTGAAATTACGGAACTCCCAAATTGATGGATTCCAAAAGCCTATAAGGTTCCTAAAACCACCTTTCAGGAAATTTATTAGGAAGCCTCACATAGTAAGTTAAAATGATACAGTTCCTTTTCCTTAGCTTTTGTTCTATTTTTCTTGTGCTCCATATTTAAAAACTTGCTGTGTTGGCTGGGCAGACATGAATTTTAAGTTTCTCTGCCTCACATTAAGTTTCAGAAGATCATTCACTGTCTTAATGTTTGTCTCTTTAAATTTGCATCTAAACAGGACTAAGGTTGTATTGACTGTAAATAACTACTGCATCTGAACTGCCTTAAGTTGCTGTGGTTTAGTTTACAAAAGCATTTAGGCTTGTATGAGTCATGCTCTCACAAACTTGGTTCTTCTGTTGCTGGATGCCTCTGTGGTACTTGGGGGGGGGGAAAAAAAAAAAGGAAAGAAAAGTGGGAAGTTGTTTAAACCTGCCAAAGATATGTTAATTTTGGGTAGGAACACTGATGTAGGCTTACGGTGATTGGATCTTTCTGATTCTAGTGGAGGTCCATTTCCACATCTCACTTGAGGTAACAATAGGAAATTCTGAGTACGTATTTTTATTTCAGTAGCTCAGAAGGAATCGTGAATTGGAAATCAGGATTGCTAGTAGCCTTATTACAGAATTGAAGTATCGCACTGTCCTGTACCTAATAAAATGCTCCCATCTGATGTACCAATTATATGAGTTTGTTATTGTCCGACTCTGAAGTCAAATGCAAAAGTTTTGGGGAACCACACTCTGAAAGGTAGATGAAGGGTCTGTTCACCAACACAAATTGATTAAATATGCATTTTGTTTAAGTTCATTTCCTACTACAGAGACTCTTTCTCTTTCAGTGAACAAAACCACAAATTCCTGAAAATGCCCAAGGAAAAGGAAGTTGGAGCATAGAAATGATCAAACATGCTTATAATCTGTTTTTGTAGATGTATGATGATAAACTCCAGTTAATCTAATTTAGATTCTAGATCTCCTGGTGGGTACAGAGTAAGTAAAAGAAAATAGACTGCAGATTTGTCTGAATTGTGGTCTTTTAAAGATTAGAGTCTTGACTTGTGTCGTTGATACCTTGCTGTCAAATTTTTGGCCAACAAAATTCTGTAGTATGGTAGAAGCTGCTTTGATCTGTTAGTACATTTTCACTCAGTGCTGAAATGCAGTTCCTTTGGGGTTGTAACATAACAGCTATAACAAAACAACGCAACAGACTACTTTACCAAAAAGTGAATAATACTTGGAATTAAAGCCGAAGCTGTTATACATGTGAAACCAGTTTGTGTTGGCAGAGTCATGTGTGAATAAAAAGAGTTAGTTTGAAGTAAGAACAGAATTAATATATTTATTGTATTAAGGGTTCCTTGAAAATTATAGCTGGACATTTGACAGGAAACTGAAAGCAAGGAGCCGTTGGTTGGTAGCAGGTGCCTTTGCCTTGATGCTTACAAGCTCCAGCAGCAGAGAGTTGCTGAATACAAAGCAGCAGGAGCTATGAAAGAATGACTACTGACTGATAAAGAGAGGAGGGATTTTGTGTGTGTGCGCGCACATGAGCTGTGTAGCTTTCTTTGCATCCAGTGCTCTTGGCTTCTGGAGTCTGGTACTTACCTGAAGCAGTTTAAGATAGAAGAGTTAACTATCTGTTTAAACACTAGTTCCCTAACTATGGTTACGCCCCTGACTGGAGTTGTGAGCCCTAAAGAGCACCCAATTACCCTATGTAAGTAAAAAGATGAGGACTTGATCCCTGTTAAACATTTTTGTGCTCATAATTGCCCTATGGTAAATGAAAGGCAATTTAGGACCTATTTCCTTTAACTAATTTCCCTGGATTAACTTTCATTGTTGGGGAAGAGTGAGCACAAAAACAGTTACCGCAAAGCAGCTGAGGTACTGTTAATTCCTTACCCCTACCATTTTGCAAGTACATGAACAAATTAAGTGGTATGGGGAAAGGGATATGAATTGTAGATATGTAAGTGGAGTCATAACCAGAAAAGGCTTGGGAATCCCTGCATATCTAAGAAAAAAGTGAATGAAAACCAAACTCTGAAATAGCTCATTTTAAACAAGAAAATGAAACAGAAACTAGCAAGTGAAAATATGTTAATTATCAACAAAGAACAGATAAGGAATTGCATTTAAATGTGATCATATTTAAATTACTTAGTTTACAAAATATGCTCTATGATATTAAGGGAATAATTAATAACGATTCACATTTCAGAAATTCTGAAATGTCATAGAAAACTAGGTATGTACCAGATTATTAGAAAAAGGGGAAGAAAAGTAGATTTTCAAAATAAAGATTTTCTAAGTAAAAAGTCCATTTTCTTCATGCTGATGCGCATTTCGCCACTTATACAACTCCAAGGGGCTTTTCAAAGCGCCCAACGCTGCGGCACTTGCACATGTAAAAATGCTTGAAGAGTAAAGTGGAATTATAGGCATAAAAGAACTATATAAAATACATTTGGGGATACATTTGCTATTTAATTTTTGCAAGCTGCTCAAAGTAGGGGAAAGTAAATTAGAAGACACATGCTTAGATTTCAAGGCAGTGTTAGTATTGCTCAGAATGCTGCTTTCAGAATAAATTCAAGCTGGCTCAGAATAAACAGTCATATGGTTTGAAAACGGAGGAGGGGGCTACATGTTAGAGACGGGATTAAAGAGCAGCATATCAAATTTGGGAAAGATGCAAAGTAGGCTAGTAGAGTATTGAGGTTGGGTTCAGCCTTACTAAAGGCTTTCATTTAATGCCCTAAAAAGTGATGTGTGGATGGATCATAACAATACAGAAGAGAAGAGATATTGGGTAATAATTGGATAATGAATTAATGCAAGCCTAGAAAGATGGGCAAAAAATTGATTGAGATTTAGGTTAAAAAATGCATGCTAATACCTAGAGGGGAAAGAGATGTGGAAGAAAGTAACCTGAAATGTTGAAACTTAGGAGTCTGTGGAAAATACATTAGCATTTCACATTTAATATGGTAGCAAAATAAGCTATTAGCTAACAGATGTATAAATGATTTTGTTGCAGGATAATAAAGAACTAAGAGAGCATGTAATGGAACAAGTGTTATTTTGCTATGTTCAGTTCACTTTTCCATGATGGTGCTAGGCCATGCTAAATCTTTGTTCCAAAAGAAAAAGCCTGCTTTAAATTATATGAAACATTCCAGATGTAACAAAACGAAAGAGTCATAGTTTTGAGTTTATTTCTTTTAACAGGTTAATAACACCCCTGTTATTTCAGAGGGACTTTTTCAGAGGGCTCCAAATCCAGTGCAACCTGTTGTACGGGATGGATCTTTTACTGCAGAAGAACACACGGCCATGTAGGATGGGTACTCAATTCCTGGCCTGTAGGCCAGATCTGCCCTCAGCCCCATGTCATCTGGCCTGCAGGGCTCCTACAGTGCTACTACCACCATTCCCCTGTTGCAAAATTTCTGGGCCCTTTTTCAGTTAGTTTGCTTTTGTTTACAGGTAACTATAGAGAGAGATTGTACTAGAGAGGCAGATTTCCAAGTGGAAACCTGACAAGGAGGCATAAAGTTTTAAAATGGTACTTTTAAAAAGAATATTTAGATCAAAAATAAGTCTTGAAGTTACCTAAAATGAAGCTTGATGCTAACATTAGATTGAAAAACTATAGTGTTAGATATTTCTGTAAAATTTTTGAACTTTCATTAAATACAGCAGGCCAGAAACCCTGAAATATTTTTATATAGGCACCAAAAAGCAACCAGTGTTAAAACTAATTATTTATGTATAGCAAGGTGTATTGTATATTAAGGCTTTGCTTGATTTAAGAACTGATTTTTGTGTGTGTGTGTGTGTGTGTGTGTAAAATGTGTGTGTGTGTGTGTGTGTGTGTGTGTGTGTATGTATATAATATAATTATACATATCATATGGTATCTCCTATATATAGTTGGTTTGTTGGGTTTTTTAACATGTCCTTGGCCCAACTACTTTACATTTTAGTAGTAGTACTTTTAAAGTCCATTTTGGTTTTGCTATTCTTGTTAAATGAATAATATTAAGTAGTTGTGTATCCAGTATGCCACATGAAATTGCCAGTACATTTTTTTCTTCTGTCTTCAGCTGTGGTAGAAAAAAAGCTGTTTCATAGTTAAGTACAAGATCTTTATACCCCTCCCCTATGTATTTTATGTATTCTGCCCTTCTCTCTCTCTCATCTTAATTTATCTATCAGATTATCTGCTCCCCCTTCCCTAAGAAGGCTCAAGGAGCTTGCATAAAAAGTCTTAAAAAGCTAGAGGTGAAGAACCCTGTAGTATAAGATTTGTATCTTCCTTTCATTACTTCTTTAAAACTATTGTAACTGAAAATTCATGGTAGGCATTTCAGCTGTGAAACTGCTTAAATTCTTGTCCTCAGCAATATCTATTGAGGTAGTTAACCAAAGACTGCAACACCGGTGTCATCGTGAAGACTTTGTCTTCCACAATCGCAGTCTGCTCTTTGGTGAGAGAGGCAGTGGTCTGGTGGGAAGAGACAGCCTCCACCTCACTGCACTGGGGAGCAGGCTCTCCTCAGCCAGAATGGCTGACCTGCTCTACCGGGCTTTAAACTAAGCCCACCGGAGGATGGGGGGACTACCACTACAGCAAGCCCACTGGGCAACTTTTGCAAATCCAGCAGACTAAGGCACTCAAGGGAACCTACTCCTGCCTCAGCCCTGGAACATTGTGTTGGGAGGAGTAGGGCCTTCAATGGGGCACTTATGTGCCTGTACACCAATGCCAGGAGCTTGGGGAATAAACAGGAGGAACTGATCCTCCTGCCAAGCAAGAATGACTATGATCTCATAGGGGGAATGGAGACCTGGTGGGACTCCACCTACAACTGGGCCACAGGTATAGACCGCTATACCTTGTACAGGAGAGATTGTGTAGACAAAAGGGGCGGGGGTGTAGCTCTCTGTGTCAAGGAAAGCTACATGTCCCTGCAAGCCAGCATTGGCATCCAAGGTGGACGACTGGAGACTCTCTGAGTTAAAATCCATGGTGAACATGGCACAGGGGACACAATGGTAGGAGTGTACTGCAGACCTCCTAATCAGGATCAAAAGCTCAACCAGGAATTCGCCAAGTAACTGGCTGAAGCTGCACGCTCCTGGTGCATGGTTGTCATGGGAGACTTCAACTACCCACACATCTCTTGGGAAAAGCGCTCGGCCAAATCTGAACGGTCGCAAAGCTTTCTCTCATGCGTAGATGAGCTCTATTTGACTCAAGAAGCCTATGGACTTACAAGAGGGAAAGCACTGCTTGACCTGGTACTAGCAATGGGGGATGATCTAGTCAGTGACCTAATGATCTAAGGGAAGCTGAGAGACCGTAACCATGAGCAGATCACATTCATTATCCACTGTGAAGCTGGCAAGTCAGTAAGCAATGCTGAAGTCCTCAACTTCAGGCAAGTTGACTTTGACAAGCTCAGGAGGCTTGTTGGCAAGGCCCCTAAGAGACCGCATCCCGAAAGGGAGGGGAGTTCACGATGAGTGGTTGCTCCTCAAGGGAGTGATCCTGAAAGCACAAGCACTGTCTATCCCATCTTGGAGGAAAGGTAGCAAAAGGGCACAGCAGCCCCCTTGGCTCTGCAGGGAACTTGTGGACTTTCTGTGTTTAAAAAGAAAGACCTATAAGGGATGGAAGACTGGAACTACCTCAAAGGAGGAGTATTCTGCACTGGTCTGAACCTGCAGAGAGCAAACCAGGAAAGCCAAGGCTGCAACTGAACTCCAACTGGCTACATGTATCAAGGCCAATAAAGTCCTTTTTTAGATATGTTCCTAGCCAGAGGAAAGGCAAGGGTCACATTGGACCCCTGCTAAACCAAATGGAACGAACAACTGACCGCCAACGCCCAGGAAAAAGCCAACCTGCTTATTGGGTATTTTGTGTCGTTTTTTCACCACCCCAAGGGACGACCGTGCTCAATATGGTACAGGACGGCCAGGGTGAAGGAGAATTGTTACCCTTCATCAAGATAGACTGTGTGAAGGAACACCTTGAGAGGCTGGACACCCTCAAGTCAGCTGGTCCAGACAGTTTACACCCCAGGGTACTTAAAGGAGCTGGCAGGCATCATAGCTCAGCCACTGGCACAGATCTCTGAGAACTCGTGGCACTCGGGTGAAATGCCTGAAGATTGGAAGAAAACCAATGTGGTACCTATCTTCAAGGAAGGGAGGAAAGTAGATCTGGGGAACTACAGGTTTGACCTGTGTCCCAGGGAAGATCTTGGAAAAAATTATCAAAGAGACCATTCTTGACAAGCTTGCTGATGGCAACATCCTGAGGGATAACCAGCATGGGTTTATTGGAGGTAGGTCTTGCCTGACCAATCTCATCTTCTATGACCAGGTGACATATAATTTGGACAAGGGAGAAGAGATTGACGTCGTATATCTTGATTTTTAAAAAAGCCTTCGATTTGGTGTCCTATGACCTCATGGAAAAATTGGCCAACTGCGGCCTCTGCTACATCACAGTCCAATGGCTGGGGAATTGGCTCTCAGGTTGAACCCAGAGAGTAATAGACGTGAGTAAATCATCGTGGTGCACCATGACCAGTGGGGTCCCCCAAGGCTCTGTCCTTGGACCTGTACTCTTTAACATCTTTATTAACGATATTGACACTGGCCAAGTTTGCTGATGGATGACACCAAACTTTGGGGTAGAACAGCCGCACCTGAGGATAGGATGGTGATCCAGGCTGACCTAGATAGGCTCAGAAAATGGGCGGATGAAAACCTGATGGCATTCAACATTGAAAAATGCAAGATACTTCACCTTGGGCGGGGGATACAGCATGCTTATAGGCTTGGCAGTGCTACGCTTGCTAGCGCCACGGCCAAAAGAGACTTGGGGGTCATGACTGAACACAAGATGAGCCACCAATGCGATGTCACAGAAGGTAAAGTGAGCAAAACTCTGGCTTGCATCCATAGGTGCTTCTCAAGCAAATCCCAGGATGTCATCCTCCCTCTGTACTTGGCCTTGGTGAGGCCGCAGCTGGAGTACTGCATCCAGTTTTGAACCCCACAATTTATCAAGGATGTGGAGAAGCTTGAGAACGTCCAGAGAGCCACGTGAATGATCAGAGGGCAAGAGAACAGGCCTTAAGATGAGAGGCTGGGAGCCATGGGACTCTGCAGCCTGGAAAAGTGCAGGCTTAGGGGGAACCTGGTGGCTGTTTATAAGTATATAAGGGGTGTGCATCAGGACCTGGGGAAGCGCCTGTTCACCAGAGCGCCCCAAGGGGTGACGAGGTCAAATGGTCACAAACTCCTCCATGACCGTTTCAGGCCGGACATAAGAACTTCTTTACTGTCTGAGCCCCAAAGGCCTGGAACAGGTGGTGCAAGCACCTACTCTGGACTCCTTTAAGAGACATTTGGATGTTTATCTTGCTGGAATCCTTTGACCCCAGCTCACTTCCTGCCCCCGGGGCAGGGGGCTAGACTCTGATCTTCCAAGGTCCCTTCCAGCCCTAGTGTCTATGAAATCTAGTAGCAGTGAGTTCTGTAATGCAGTTGTTGTCTGTAAAAGCTAACGCCTTTTAAGTTTTGTTGACGTATCCATGTTCGTGACTTCCTGATGGGCCTCTGTTGTATACCTGTCACTTAGTTCCATTCTCAAGTAAACACTTTCTATTTTTACCTCTGTTTTCATAAAACATTTTTTCCATGACCCTAATCATTCTTTGTCCTTTTCAGATGAGCTGACTGTTGAACGTGGTCTTCTAGTTTAATAGTGAGATTGTTTGTATCGTGTCACTGCTGTACTTCCCATAAGACTCTCTATCCCAGTAGCAGCAGTCAGAAAAAAACACAAGTGCTTAAAGAGTTGTTCACCACGATGCCTTATTTTAAAAAATTTAGTTCATACAGATAGTTTAGAAACCAGTCAGGTTTATGTGTACTTAGCATTGAACCATATCAGACATCACTTAATTTTTGGTGCTCAGATTTCTTTTCTGGAATTAATCAACCTAAATAACTACTATTTGCAAATGTAGTTGCTTCATACTTCTGTCTTTTGGTCATTAACATATGAGATTCCATGCTTATTTTGTACCATAATGACCGTTGACCACTTAACTCCTTTCAGTTCTTCATCTGTGAAAATATTTTGCTCTATATGCTATGTCTATCTAGGTGGGGTTTTTAAAATTCTTTTTGGAAGGAACTTAATCTACTAGTTACTAGGTTTTTTAAAACAAAAATTTTCACAGTTAGTATCTAAATTTAATAAGTTAACTGGAGACATCTCTCTATATTACTTGCAACCAAAAAATAACTTATCTCCTATCTCAGTGTGGGTTGACGTAGTGTCCTGTGGTGCTGGCTCTGCTTTTTTGAGGGGAAACCTCAGCTGGACAGATCTGGTGAGCTTAGAGGCAAACGGGCCCTGTTTCACAGTAGTGCTTTGCATTAGCTGCTCTGGGTCTGAAAGCAGTCTCCACACCTTGAGTTTCAGTTCATTAGATGAATGCACTATTGCAGTTCTGTTGCCTTAAACCAGAACCGTTACACTTCAGCTACAGGAACATATACAGGTCAATTTACTATGTTCTAAAACCTTGCTTTACTGTTGCATTAAAATACTTTGTATTGTTGAAACCAATATATCTTGTTTTTCTAGAATTCTTATTATGCTGCAAAAACAAATGATATCTTTACTCCCAGACGAATTAGAGGACACCTTGAAAATCCTGGACCCATCAGAAAACCATTTAAGGTATTGTTTGATTCTTGCCAAAAATGTATGTGCGTTTTGGGTTTAATTTTAAGTCCTGTAATTTGGGCCTTGACTAACATAACATGAAGAGAAGGATTTCCCAATGTTGCCAGCATCAGCTGAACTCTGCTTCTGTTGGCATAATGAGAATGTTACCCTTGTAGTGTTAATATCTCACTGGAAAAAAAAATTGCACTACTTTTCTTCCCTGTTCTGTAACTGCTGCGGTATTGCTGTATCTTGGGATGGGTGGTATTTGAATTGGGCACCTCTCAGCAATCTGGAGTCATCTGATTTGTTTCAGGGTTCAGTTCTGAACAGCTGTAGTGAGGGAGAGGGCAGGCAGAAGAGAAGGTTGAGAAGAGTTTTGGTCAAGTAAAGGGAGCACAAGATGATATGAACATGCTAAGCAATAAGCAGGATAGGAATGGCCTCAAGAGCAAACGTAAGAATTGAAATTGTAAGAATGAAGAGTGACTGAGGGCTAGCCTGTACCATCTCCATGCCACACCTGGGGATGAAGCCCACTCCATTCACTTCCTGCCCTGCTGGGTGGGAGTGAGGGAGGGGTGCACACGCATGCACATGCACAACCTCAAATCTTGGAAAGGAAGCAATGTAGAGCAGGTCTGACTATCTCTATGGATGTCCAAGACGGATGGTGGGCATATAGCATTCCCTTGCATGCATGTAAGCAGCATAGGCATGCCCTAAAATAACTTGACCTTTTTCTGATGGGTCATGTGTGCATTACACTAGTACGCTTACCCCTAATTTTAGTTCTGGTTTGACTCTGTCCCACTCCTAGAGTAAGCTTCAGCCTTGTGGTTTCCCTTGCTGTCATCACTTAACATATGAAATGCAGATTGCTCTTTTCCAGGCATGAGAGAAAATGTTACCTCCTTTATCTGCTGAATGCTATTGACTCTTTCATTTTCAGTTCACTGAAAATCTATATAACATGTCCCAAATGCTAACTTTAATTAAATATCCCATACTTTGCTATTATATTTCCTCACATGTATTGTTTTAGGGTTTTGTTGTTCATAAGACACCTGAGATATCAGAGAGCAAGCAAACCCATCCCCTTCTGAGGTATACAGAGCTTTTCCAATACCTCTTGACTATAAAGCACACCATGGGGTCAGAGTCAATTAAATCTAAAACAAAGATTACTTCTATTTCTTCCTCCCTGTTATGAGTGGCTTGCTGTGCACAGGCCCAATTAGGGCCAATCTTAACAGTATTAATCAAGTCTTAGACAAGTTGCTCTAGGTTTCCATTTAAGAGTGACCTTACTACCATTTTCCTCAAATATAAGACAACCCCCCCCCCCTCCAATAATTAGATTCTATATATGGAAATGTTTTATATATTTGTTATAATTTTCTAGGTATAGAGTGTGAGTATTGGAGGGTTGTCTTGAATCCTCCCTTCCCTCACTGCTACAGCAGAGAAAGCAGTGGCAGGGGAGCGGTTAGGTGGCCCCTTCATGCTCTGCCCTGCCCTGCCCACTTCTCCCTGCATCCTCCTTACTCCCCACCCCAACTCCTCATAGTCTCTGCCTCTTTCCCCTCCCCTCTTCCCCATTCCCCCCAGTATATGCCTTCCCTCCCTGCATTGTCAGATGCTGCTCAGGTTGCACAACATGTGATTGCTCAGCCCTTGCCTGGCTATGCAACAGTGTAAATGCTGCTGATTGGCTGGGCAGGGAAAGCACTTTCCATGTGCTCCATGCACAAGAGAGACCCCAACCCAAGCTGGAGCTGAGCTATGCCTGACAGCAAGGGGGTGGGCAGGGCAGAAGCTGCGGAGGAGAAGTGGGGTGGGGGGGGCAAATCAAAACTGACCTGGGCTTAAGGCCAGTATCAGAGCAACAGCAGCTGCCTGCTTCCCCCTCCCTCCCCATCCACTTTGTATCCAAATATAAGATGATCGCGGAGGGGGTGGGGGGTGGGGTGAGCAGGGGGCAGTAGTCTTAAATTTTAGTAAATGTTGTCATTACTAAAGTATTTGTGTCTTTGTCCCAAAGTCTTCCTTTCTACTGTATTATATCTTTTCCATGAGCCAAGTAAATCACTTTGCCTACTTTCACCACAAATGTTTCAGATAAGCCATTGAATAAGTGGTGCTTGTTTCATTGTATTTACATTTTGCAGATAAGGAAATTGAGACAGAATAGTTGCACAATAAGTTTACACGAGTAGTTGGCATCAGGACTCTAATTTAAATATCAGACTTCCTCATTCTTATTTCATACCTACAACAACAAAAGTCTTTATAGACTTGCAGGTTCCCCTATCCTCACCAGAAGCGTCTACCTCTGTACCTATTATTAAATGCACATGAGCCAGTCAGTAACCCAGAGAACTGTCTTCAAAGCTTTTTATATGTTGTTAATTTAAAATTGTTGGGTTTTTATACAGTAAAACATCATTTGAGGTCTTTAATTTACTGTTGGCATAAGGCCCCATATGTCAGTCAGTTCCTGCCCAATATAGTCAGCCTATGACTTTGTTACACCAAGCTGATCCCTGGCTCCCATATCACCCTTGTGGGGGTGTCAACAGTTGATGTAGAATAGGCTGAGGATTAGAATTCTGCCTAGGATTGTGGGAGCATAAAGATGAGCTTTCTCATGGTTGCATACATGCATATGCTTTGTGGCTGCGAATGATCTATCCCATGTGTACTTTAGTATCATTATGGGCAAGCAGCCCATACAGCAGTACTGCATTTGGCATATATGTAAAGGTTGGGGTTGTTCTAAGAACAGAAGTGTTGATTTTTTTTTTTTACTTATTAGGTTGATAATTTTAGGGGGGTTTTGCATTGAAATTTTTTCTTTATTGCATATAATTTCTAGCAGTGTTGTTGAAGTTTGTTGAATGCACTCAATATGTATTAGTAGGTGTTTTGACTATCTTCTAATGTGAATATGCTCATAGCAGCCAGAAATCCTGGGAAAAATCTCTTCCTTTGTGTATGAGTTCTTTTGAGTCATGAAGCAGTAGTAGTGTTGCCTCTACTACACTTTTAAAATTTCTTTGTTTGTGTTAAGCTGTTTGTGAATGCAGTAGTTGTTCCAGAGCAAGAATTTTCTACAGGGATACCTAAACTGTTTCACAGTGTGTGGCTGAAGTGTGAGACAACTAAATCCACCTGTGTATATATAGAATATAGATAGATATGAAGTTATTTTATGGTTCAGATAACTTCATTTGCTATTCACATTCTGCCCCTAGTTATGCTGGCATATATTAGAGGTGCATATTACTTGGTGCATATTAGTAGTTAGATGTGTATATTACTTAGTTTATGTTGTTTTCTCGTAAAAACTTTGATTTTAATATACTTCTACTTGTGAAATGGGATCATAGACACTAGCAATACAAGCATGGTTTGTAAAATACATATATGTTAATGAGATTAAGAACCTTATTCATAAACCATTTTCATGTTTCAAATGGAAGCATCTTAAGGTTTTCAAAAAGCTTGGAGCAGTGAAATAGTTTTGTCTGTCATTAGAGTATCTTGATGGCAAACATTAAGATTCTGAATAACTTATTTATCACCTCCTTTATTTCTACATGATGCTTGAGCTCAACTTTTAAAACGTCTGAGCACAATCCAGCTCCTGTTACCTTCCCTTTTTATTCTGATATTCTTTTTCACGTCCTCATTTCCAAAGACCAAAGAGAGTATTGGATACTCCTTCCTATCCATCTTGACAGCAGTTGTGTAAAAAGGAGGAGCGTAGCATTTTTCCAAGTTGGAAATACAGCTGTGAGATGGGTGTGAGAGAGCCTAAGGGCTTACTTTTACAATAGGAGGCAGATACCTCTTCATGAAAGTTTCTCAGATCAGTAGGCACTGCTCAGAGAAAAGTATCTAGCAGCTGGGGTGGGGGCTGCACGTCCACATAGATTAATGCAAATCTTGGCATGTTTACGCTGACATGGTCAGAGACTTCATCTAGAATTTCAAAACAAAGTTTCAGTTTCTCCTGTTGTGTAGGGATATTTTTGCGTGAAAGGTATAATTTTATTGTACTTTAAAAATACCCAAACTTGGACTGATGTTCTGAGACGCAGTTTCACATTTGGCGAACGTTCTTCCAAGAATGTCCTGTCTCTAGCTTCTGAAGGATTCATTCTGGTCAGTAACAGGGTCAGCTTTTTTCAGTTGCATCACATATGGACAAGACACCTGAAGAAACTGGAAAAAAATTGAATTAAAATGATTATTAAAAAACATCACTTTCTGGCTGGGCTGAGTCTGAAAATTTCCAACCTAAAACTATCTGTGAGAGTATAATACACACATCTGGAATTTTCTCTGAAATTAAGGTCTTTTCACTGCACCCCCTCACTGTGTGGTCTGGGTTGTCTGTTATTGTAAAGCCTTAAATACATTGAGCTGATGCTTCTCCTATATCTGTTGTGTCCACCTTTTTTTAGTATTTTGAAGCTTTTAACTGCCATTTCCCTGTGGCATTTTATCCTCTTTCCCAACTAAAATGAATTTACGTGGCCCAATCTGGTGCTCTTCCTACGGGTTAAGTATTAAATTGATTCCAAGCAATACTGGGCTCGTCAACTCTGTTCATTACTATGGAGTTGACTAATTAGCTTTTCAGTACAATGTCACCTAAACGTGGTGCTATTAGGGCAGAGTAAACAAATCAACTCTGCCCTACGCTAGTACTGCCAGACACAAGTACTGTCCTATGGCAGAGTTATTTATTCTTCAGCAGTTCCTGTAGATGCTGATGCAGCGGCCCAGGGCACAAGGGTGCTTCAGTTTGGGCCACCCTGCCTGCTAGCTCTGACTGGAGCACCCTCATGCTGCAGCCACCCCTCCACAGCATGTAAAGCTGGGTCGGAGCAGCCCCAGTCTGGCAGGCTGACCTCTGGAGCCCCCTGCCAGCCTGGGACTGTTCTACCCCGGCTCCACATGTTGGTCCCAGGTGCATGTGCAAACACTGCACCCAGGAGTGACACACAACATTGCATTTTGTGAAATGAACACTGGGTAGTAGTCTGTGAAATCCTAAATTGAAGGTAAGGAAGGAAGAAGGATATGGATTTATAAACAAACACCTGACGTATTTTAAGTTATGTAAGTTAAGTTATCATGTTCCTGTATAATTATGTAAGTTTAACTTTGAAGTAGCTGAATGCAGCAACAGTACCATTTTGACTGGAGTTCTGAAATGTTACTGTTTTCTCACTTCTTTTTCCTTCTCTACAGACTAACTTTACAGATGGTCGGTTGCAACCCCATTATAAATCAGGCTTAGTACAGAAGGGTTTATATATTCAAGCTAAGTACCAGCGGCTGCGTTCTGCTGGTGTAAGGGGATTTACCACTAATAAATTCAGAGAAGGATTTTTGAGGAAAGAAAAGGTGAGTTGATTAAGATTCATCTTCACTAAACAGCTTCCTACAATGTGAATATCCAAATGGTTCTCTCCAGTTCTGAATTCATCTGGAATAGCTTGTATAGAATTCTTTGGAGTACTGAATATTTGTGTTTCCAGGTGAACTTGGTTTTGTACCCCATTCCCTGCCTGTGGCAGTGATCTAGGTAAATGGAGATTCTTAAGGAACCGAAGGCCAAGTGTGGCTTGTGAGATTTCACTGTGGCTACCAGTTTTGGTAGTTACCTTGCAGCTCAGTGGAGCTGGGTTCTCATCTGTAAGTCCTTGCTTGAAAATGTAAGACAGCTGGGTAACAGTTTTCCTGTTATTGGAAGGATTTTTTTTTGGCATATTCTCCGAAAAAGTGCAACTAACCTTAGCATCTACTCTGTACATGCAAGTTAAGAGTATTTAAAAACCATTTAATTTATATATGCTGTAGTGTTGCTTTGAGAAGCAGCATGCAGAACAACACACCTTTATTGGGTACCTGTTTTAGATGCCCTGGCCTGTTACAGGGAAGTTGCATGCTAAAAGGGAAAATATGCTCTATCTTTATAAGCCAAGAAGTCAGATGTGGTGAATATTTATCAAGTCACAGTTGACTGATTTATAAGTTATCAACTTCTATTTTTTTAATATTCAGTAAACGTTAAAGCTATACAATGTTGCATGAAACTATAGCAGTAGTAAGGGTGGTTAGGATGCAAATGCCTGAACTAAAGTGGCTAAAAGCTAGTCCACCTGGCAGGCATTGCCTGCCAGGTGGACTATCCATTTGATAATAACTTGTTCATAGTATGTATGGGACAATACTATTATAGACTCATGCTATAGCTGTACTTAAACCATATTGGGAGTCATGTCCATTGAGAGGAACAGTAATAAACAGATAACCTTAAAATTACAGCATCCTAAATCCTCAGTTTGGAGTTTACTGTAGCAAAATCTAGGCTGTATGTGGTTACCTGTAATATCAGATGGCTGGATTTGACCCAGGAGTTCCCTTCAAGTCCTTTATATGTTCTTATTTCCTAAAATACTGTATTTACTCAATTCCAGGATTTTTTCCTCCTTTCAACCTGGGAAAACAAAGCCTTGTCTTAGAATTGAGTATTAGGTGAAAATACAGGTGCCAGGACCATGCAGGCAAGCAGCAGGGATCCAGTCAGCAAGGCACTACATGCCACAGGCTGGGGGCCTGGCTTCTAGGTCCCTTGGTGCTACATGCCATGCTGGACTGTCACAGAGGCACCTGGCATGGTGCCTCATGTTTAAGCTGGGCCACTGGACAGGAAGAGCTCAAAATGAATGGGGTCAGAAAGAGAGAGGGGAGCCTTGCTGGTAGGGTACTCAGCTGGGAGCAAGACCTGGTTAGTGCTGCATGGCAAACAGTCACTGGATAAAAAGGTAACAGTCCTGAGAGCAGGCACTGAAAGCCTGGGTTCCTCCCATTTTCCCCTCCACCCAAGTGCTCTCACTACTAAGTTGCAGTTGCATGTGTGCAGTCCAACCCATGTTTGAGTTGTATAATCTGAACAGGTAAGGTTTTGGATTGTCCAGAATAGTCTCTCACCACTGTATCTTCCATGAACAGGGTGGTGGTTACTTGTGTTAGTCTGAAGTCTTGCAGAAGGTCGAATAAGGTGGCATCTTAAACAATAACCAGTTAGCCTCTGATCTAGTTAGCTTCTAAGGTGCCACTCTGCCCTACCTTCTGTCTGACTACTGTATCTGTGTTGGTATAAATTCCTCTAATTTAAAAAAAAAAATTTACAAAACATTTTGGCTGCAATGAAAGCACATTTATAAATTTGAATTAATGATTCTTCTCCAAAATAAACTCCATTCCATATATATAAAATATGCTTACATTTCTGGTTTTCTGCTCTTTAATCCTTGGACTGGGATATGGCTAAAATTTTTCCGTGTGTGGAATCTAATTGAGATGTCATTTTATGTTCAAGGTATTTGGGTATGTTGGATAATTGTGCTGTCCCATTTATATTACAAATAAGTGTAAAGGGTGCCAGACAACTCTTGTGTATTGCAGTAAATTCTAAGCATGCTGTACAGCTGAGGAGGTAGTAAGTACTTTTTTCACCAAACAATGATAGTCCTAACCATTCTCTTCTAAGTGTTAATTTATGCTTGAGTTTTCCTGGCCTAGTTAATTTACTTAGGATTGTGCAAAAGCCCTAATGCAGATGTAGCATACCAGTAAAACAAAACAAAAAAAAAAGCTGCTTTTTTTTCTTCCCCCTCCCCCAACCCAGCTCTACATCCTCTAAGCTCTATATCCTCTAAGAATCAGTATTGCTTGGTCTCTGAAGAATACATGCAGTGGTTAGATGGAAAATAAATTGTTGAAATATAAAGTCATAATGATTTTGTATTTTGAAAATTATAAACTAGTACCCTAATACAAATGTATGCATGTGTCATCACGAACGCATGACAGTAACTTGTTTTTCTAAATTTCCTGTTGTACTTTATAATTGGATGATAGAAGTCCTTCCTTAGAATTAGTTCAAATAACGTTAATAAAATCTGGACTATTAAGAATATAAATTATTTATCAGTATAAGATTTTATTATATTTATTTGATAAGTAATAAAACTTGTTAATATCATCCAGTTAAAGCAAGAAGAAATCCTTCATTAAAATGTATATTTCCTTTTTTTTCCCCTGAAAATTACTAGTTGTGGAGTACTTTCAGTGATGGATTTCTTCTTCAGACTTCTACCTACATAGTAGTTAAAATTGTTAAGTATTTTACATTTGTAAGCTTGTGTTTACTCCTGAAAGCTGAATCTCTTTTTTTAAATGAATGCATGTTAACACTTCAGTTATACCATAAAGTTCAAAGTAAACATAGTTTAAAAAATATGACACATTATCCAGTTTCCATTAACTTTCACCTGAAACAAATTCCCAGTCAAATTTTTGGATCGGTTGATTATTAACAGAGCTTTTAATGACCGATTGTAAAGGAAAAAGTCAAGAAGCTGCTTCTTGGTGACTTATAAATCATTGTACTCTTATGCTTGTAACCATTTCTAATAATTTATTACACCTTTATAAACAACTGCATTTAATGTAGATATGAAGGATAACCAAACTCCTTAAGGTCAAACCAATCTTAAATGTAAATCAGTGTATTCAAAGAGTAAGATGGTCAAAACGCTACATTGAGTGCATTATCCAGATTGGCATTGTTTGCAACAATATTCGGTTTTAGAGTCTGGTTGTCTAGTTACAGTGTATTAAAATTGCTATTCTTCCATGAACCTTGTGTTTGACAGCTGACAGCTGGACTGCAAACTCCCTGTCTGTGTTGGTGTTTAGGTACACATGCAAGCAGCCCAGTGGATATAAATGGGACTCAGTAATGGCTTACAAATGTGAATGCAGGATTACAACCTGGCCCCCACTGAGGAAAAGATCGGAATTAAATGTCTGTAAGATGGTGTTTTCTAGTGACTAGTAATAGTTTAGTGTATTTACCTTTGACTATAGCCAAGATTTTCAAACTTAGGCATTCAGGCTGGGGTACCTTACCAAGGTACTGAGCTTCTTTTAATTTTCCCAACTTTCATTGAAATATGGGCTTACATTTTGATTTACTTCAGCTATGAAAACTTGTTTTCAAAATTTACCATCTCAGGCGTAATTCATATTTGTAGACTCTTTGCCCTGATGGTAGATTATATAAATTACAGACTTATTTGGATCCATCTGTCTTAAAATATATAGTCTTGAAATAGAGAGAACTTTTCCAAGGCTAATTACTTATTCTTTATTTTATCAGTGACCTGGTTCCTGTAGTGAAGAGACCTTATGTTTTTGGTAAATACTATATAGAGAAATATAAAATAATAAAACCCTGAATGTGATCTGTTTCATTTTTTTTCATAGTCATGACTTAGAAGTAACAACTTTTTCTCTTACTAGGGACCGTCAAACATTGTCAGAGAAACCTGAACTTTGATGCTGACGTTGAGACATAACGATAATAACTCACAAGGGAACATCTGTTTGTTTTTTGACAACTTTGCCAGGAATTAAAATAGGATAAATGGAACTAACAGTGTAGCTTTCTCAGAAAAAATGACCTTATTTTTCAGTAGTGGAATGCTGCAGAACTTTTTTACAGTTTTAATAATTGCTTTTAAATTACAGTACAGTATTTAGTTGAAAAGTTGTAGTATGGTACTTTCAGTTCCTTTTTGCAAACAAGTTTCAAGAACAGAAATCACTGAAGGGAGTCATATTTATTGAATACTTTTCTCTAAGCATGATTTTATGAATAGAAATTGAGTTGTTATACCCAGAGGTTTATATGTTGAAAAGTTTATTGCTTGTGTAAAAAAACAAAAACAAATAAAAAAAAAAAAGAAGGTAAAGAGAGAGGAAAAAAAAGTGCCTGAATTGTTCAGTGATAGCACATTAGCTCAGGACTCTCCAAGCAATGACCTTTTAGGTTGTGCAATAGACCTTACCTCTCTTTTCAGTTATTTCCCTAGGAAAATATTTGTGTTACTTCTGCTTGCTTTTTTTTCAGTTGGGTGTTTGACTTACAAATGCATATACGTTTGTAAATAAATTGTTAGAAATTTGTGACAATTTCCAGCATTTAATCAAAATGTGTGGTAATGGGTAGGTATGTAACGTACTGCATAGCAGTAGTTTATAAATGCACTGAAAGCATGCTTGGGACTGTTAGAGGATTAGTTGGCCTGTATTCAGAAATACCTTGGTTCACCATATGTTTGTGAGAGACGTTCTTAATCGAGCAGCACATTTTCTAACATTTTGCCACAAATAGGCTTGGAAGGTATGTGTTTAAAAAGAAGTCTTTTTAAAAAGCATGTCTTCTGACAAAGCTGTCTGAAGCAATTTCACCAATTAACGCAGAAAGCCTGTAACTTTTAAAAAATTAAAATCCCAGTCACTCCTCAAAGTTTATCCCACCACAATGTTATGCTACATGCAAAAATCAAGTAGGCCGACAAATGCTCAGCCCAATACGGTATTTTCTGTTTATAGTTAGAGCCTTAATATATATTAATAAGTTTGTATGTGTTTCATATTTTGTATTCCAAGCACATTAAAGACAAATGTCTAGTAGCTTCCAGGGAAGACTTTCTAATTTGTTATAAAAATGTTGTCATTTAATCACTTTGTGTATTTAAAAGTTCTCTCCAAGGTTATAGTAGCCATAAAAAGTGCAACAAATAATTCTGTTTATGGATTGTATTAAGGTATTTGGTATGCTTAACACGTGAAATGTCAGAAGGAAAATTCACTCTTCTTTTGGTAAAATTACACTATGGACTACACACACTACATCACTTTTTTTTTTTAGAATTATTATGGTTTATTGAAGCTTCCTAAGTATGCTTGAGAGCACTATAAAATGTTTTAGTACAGTATGATGAAATCTAACTAAAACCCGTTCACATATAATTGGGCATACAACTTCAATCTTTACAAAGAAGGAAAATTGAGCGGGGAAGAGGCAGGGAATCATGGTTATAACTGATTTAATACTAAGTATAGATAAAATTTCAATTTTGCCTTTCCAAAAAGCAGTGTGTTTAGTTTAGATAACAGGCACCCCTGCCTCCTTTCTTCAGTAACTTATACTAAGTTTTTAGGGGGTTGTGGTCCATATAAATCAAGCAGAAAGCTGAAGTAGAAGAAATATTTTTTCCTTTCAGAACTATGTAATAACATAGTTATTTAGTATTAACATATAGCCTATTTAGTGTTAGGCTACATAAAGTGAATCTGTTCAAATCTAGGCCTACTTTGCTTAAATTCTGAGTAGCTATTCACACCAAATGAATAGAGTGTAGAAAAGCTGAATGTAGAAAAGCACTTTTAAATAAACATGTACACAGCAGAAAATAAACTGTTCAAGCGGCACTGCGTTATCTGGCAGAATAGTACTATTTCTGTAATATTTTTATTTTGCAAAAAATCTTGGCAAAGAATTGTTTTGAGCAAGTGGAAAAGTATGGTTACATGTGGAAACATCTGTATCATGACTGTTTTGTTGCTGTTGTATGAGAGTGTATGCATTTTGGTTTATCCAGTTCATACAACTTACACAAAAATCCAGCTTTAGAAATATGAATAACTTCTCCAGTTATCTGCGTGCTGTTTTATTTTACTTACGACGTTGGGCAGCTTTAATTTTGTAGTACAGTCATACCTTTTCTTGCATGGCTTTCATGCATATCGTTTAGAACTGACAGCAGTGCAAATGGTTAAATTGCATTCTTTATTAATAACTTTGCAATTCCGATTTAGGACGCCCCTGCAGTAAGTAAATCAGTTTTGTGTGTAGCATGGAGGATTGTACACGAATGGTAAGGTCTTATAAACAATCCTGACTTAAATGCTGCTTTCTGGTTGGACATTTCTGCTGAAGAGCAACTGCTGTCCTGTTAATTGTGGAAGTGTTGCAAATATGTTTTCATTCACGTTACAGAAGTAGCATAGCATGTTAGGTCTTGTAAATTAAGTTAGGTCGATTTATACATGCATACATACACGTGTAGAACTAAGATTTTGAAAAGGGGAAGTGGATGGTGTGGTACATCATTGGACATAACTGTCTTTCTCTCCACTTAAAGAGAAGCTAGAAGGTTTATTGATACACTAGAGGTCTAGCACTATATGATTTAGTTTAAGTTGAAAACAAAAACAGATATAACTTTATTGGAATGTGCAATTAAATTTTTAATAAACACAACTAACTAGGCAAAAAGTTGAAATATTTTGTTTCATTAGTCCTGTAGCCATTATAGTTAAATATATGTTTCTTATTCCAATTCATAAAACAAAATCTAGCTTTCATGAGTGTCTTGACAGTGCCTTCAATACTGTCAGTCATTTCCACACTGGAGCTAATAGCACTGTACCCCAGTTAGGGTTTTAGCTAGATCTAAAAACAGTCTGCAGAGCTGTGAAATATGAGGCACATTACTAGAAATGGCTAATAGACAACAACATCGCAGAAGAAAGAATAGTTTGAATAGTGGAACATCAAGACCATGAAGAAGGAGAGGGGTATTAACACCTATGGAATGCGGAGAGATTAGCAGGAATTGGGTAGAACAGGTTGGCAGCCTTTTTGGGCAAAGTGCCAAAAACACCCTCAAACTTAACTTGTAAGATATTGGCATGCCAGGGGCAGCCACAAGGTGCCTGATCTTTATTGTGTCAGTACAGCCTCAGCCCTTTCCACAAGGCGCAAGTACCAAGCAGAATGCCTTTGCGTGGCACACGTGCCAGGGTTTGCCTACTCCTAAGGTAGAAGATAATGAGCCATGATTCAGTTGACTCCCTCTGTGCTACATTAATAGAAATGCTGCCATCCCTCCCAGGCAGCTGGTTTTAAAGTTTGGGTTGAAGGAGGAAACGGGGGGGGGTCAGAGAGACTCTATATACCTAGTCAGCATAATATTTTAAAATAATCAAAAGGCAGAGTAGAAGGGGATATGGTTAGAGATGGTTATAATAACAAAGGTGATTCTGTGAAAAACTGTTCCGTGCCTTTCTGTACTGTAACTGCATTGTGAAAAATGACATCTGCCATACAAGAAAAGCTAAGTGTTGCTCTGAAAAATCAATTTGATGGGAAATGTGGGTAGGAAACATTTGGGTATTACAAAAGACACTTTTTTTGTTCACTATGCAAGTAATTCTTAGCCTCTATATATTGTAGCTTAACCAAAAGGAGGTATATAGTATGCCTTTTCTATGGGTAAGGCATATAAATACTTTTTCATTGGGAAATGCTAGCTGTCAAGTATGCAGTTGTCTGATGGCCAAATTTTTTCTTGATTACGTTTTATAGATGCTAGTTGTTTATATTTTAATCAGCTCGATGAAATGACCATACTGGGATGCTACCTGTCATATCACCATTGGAGTTCTTACAATTTGCAGTGTTTAAACTCTGTAGCACTATCCAAGATGCAGTGGCTTAATATGATTGAAGTCCATATTTGTGTGTTAAGAAGTTGTCACTGCTTTTGGCATATACATTGCTGAGCATTTTAAGTAATTCTGTCATGGTAGGCTTAGAACCCTGATTTTATCTTGCTTTTTTGATCAGATTTCCAAAGTTAAGAAATATAATTGCGTGGGTTCCTGGAAAGCAAGCGAGCAATACACTGGATGAGTGTACTCTGCTAGAGCTCTGCCTTGCCCTTTTCTATTATTTACTCTATTTTTAACCATGTTTTCAAAACTCCAACATTTACCTTACTTAAAGGACTTGGCTATATCCAGGTCCAGAGACCAGAAGTCTACCTCAACCTTGATGACTGATTTCTTTGGGGATTCGGCTGACAACCCGGACTGGATGACATTTGACAATACCTAGCTGCTGTCCTCTCTCCTATGGCCCCTGGAGGAAATATTCAGCTTCCTTTGCTAGACAAGTAACTAAGGTTATATCTTTGTGAAGTTGGATGACAAAGGAAGGCTTTTCAGAACATGCTGCCGCATATGGAAAAATGCATCTCCTGACTTCTCACAGAAATGAATAGTGAGAAGTGCCTGAATGAGATGGTGATTAAAGTACTGGTGATAAGTGAGAAGGATGACTTAGAAAATGCACTTGGCTTTTCAGTATTTGCCTTTAGTCTACGGGACAAAAAAAAGTTTAAAATTCTTTAGTAGACTGTTTCTTTACCTGTTGGAAGAATCTGCATTTCCAGAGCCCTTAAAACAGGAGACACAGCTTGCCTCTGCTTATGCCACTATTGGAAAAACATCACCAAGATTTTCTACATTTCTTAGTTAAGGAACATTAGAAATTTGTACCCCCAAGAGGTATGCAGAAATGTAGTGCCTGACTGTTTATAGACTTTTGTGCATATCTCTTACCTTTGATAAGATTTTGTTCCACTGCTGCGGGATTTGAAGATACTTGGTGCTTCAGCCTCCCTATAAAGATAAAAGTAACATAAATATACTTAAAATAACATTTTTCAGAACTGTGAATGCCTACCTAAAGCCCTTTAAACTCCTCATTGGACCTTTGAATAGTGGTAAACCTGAATTGAATCCTATGTCAATCTGGGCTAAGAGGAATTTTTTATTTTAAGGAATAGACAAACACTGTCATAACACCAGCTTTCTTTAGCCTATTCCTAAGTAGATACTTAAGCACAGAATTAATAGAATCCTGTGCCTTCCTAATTTATTCTTAGTTTGGTTTCCCCTCCCCCTTCCCACCATGCTAATATATTGGTCATTGGTCTGAACCTAGTCTGTCATTTAAATCTCACATGTTGTCTTTTAATGTTTAATTTTCTGTAAGTAATTTTATTGGCAACCTTATTTTGTGTCTGGTTTCTTTTTCTCTTGCCTGTGTTTTATTCTTGTTAATGAGGGTATAAGACAACCTTCATATTGAGTTGCTGCTGAAGTAAACAGAACTTGGAACAACAAAAAGGCTTTTTACTTTGTTCAGATGCTGTCTGCATGTTTTCATCCAGCAGGGGTATGACTCCATAGTTCCATAATAGTACATTAAAAGTAGGTCCCATTTATATTACAATTTTCTCTTCATTAAGAAGCCCCCTAAATAAATAAATACATAATGTGGCTTTTTATGAGACTCTTTTTGTTGGGATGGACCTTTCTTTTCTTTTTTTAAACCTTGAGACTGGGGGGGAAACTTTGAAAAGTACCAAAGTGACTTAAGACATGTCTGTACTTGAAACTTCACTGTGCCAGGTAGTAACACTTTCCAATACACCGGGCCAGCTAAGTCGCCTTTCTGAACTGAAAGCAGCGTAGGTCTGCTTGGGCAGTACTATAGGTGGGACAGTTACCATTGGTAAGTGACAGTGGGAATTAGTCTTGACTATATCACTGCATGAAATGTGACCATGCTGCTTTCAGGAAGCAGCCTGTGGAAAGCAGTGTGGCTTGTTTTAAGCAGGCCAGATGGTGGCACCCTAAGTTTCCAGTATAGCTGTTTCCTTGGAAAATAAAGCATCTTGCAGTGTTTAAGTGGCCTTTGGGCACTTTTACACCTGCTGCAGGGGCAGGGGGGGAAGGGAGCAGCGCTTTAGTTTGAGCTGCTCTAATTAAAGCACTGCAGTATCTTGTGCATCAGTATCCCCATGCTTGAAAACGGTGGTGAGGGCGCTTGAACTAAAGCTCATTCGACAAGCTTTAGTTCAAGTACCTCTGTGCTATTTTCATGCACAGGGGCCCTGATAAGTGGGAGGCTGGTGGAGCGCAGTAATTGCCACATTCCAGACTTGATTCATTGAGTCTGCTGCAACACTGTAATTACAGTGCATCAGAGCAGCCTCCAGATTCATGTACAGACACCCTTTAGCTTTTAAAAAAATTAAAATCTAGGAAACCCTTGTTCTGGTGATTCTTAGAAAGTGCCTGTGTTCATTTGGCACCTATATTTTGGTCACACATGCTCCCTGAGTGCCTAAATGTGCCTCTGCAGATGCATGACTCATCCTGGTCTGAGCCACTAAGTCAGCGGTCCCAAACTGGGTTGTGACCTCAGAAATCATTGCAACATCAGTGAATGGGGTTGCAGCATGGCACTCCGCTGTGCCAGTTCCTGCCTGCTGGGCTGCAGAGGCCCTGCGGAAGGGCAGCAGGATAGGAGCTCCAAACAGGCAGTCACATCCCCCCCCCCTCCCCCCTTCCCACTACCCACAAGGCGGGGATCAGGGGTTGGGCAGGGGGGAGCCAGGCTCTGTGCTCTGGACTCAGCTTCCTGCAGGTGTTGCTGGGGTGGAGGGGCAGGGGACTGCAGATTGGGAGGGAGGGGCATTGGCAAGGCCAGGGGGCTGTGGGTCAGGAGTGAGGGGCACCTGTGGGGATGGGGGTTGCAAGTTGGGAGTGAGGAGCCATGCTGAGGAAATAGAGTCATCTATGGGATTGTGCTGAGGAAAAGCTTGGAAAGCACTGCACTAAGTCTTTAGCCAAGATCCAGAGCCAAGGGGGAGCAGTGGCTAAATTCTGCCTAAATCCCATTGGAAACATGCACACCCCCCACTCCTCAGTCCAGCATAAAGCACATAAAGCTGCTATAGTCAATTCCATACAAACAAGGCTGCTGGCAGTGCTCTCTTTTTAAAGTAGCCTAAGTGATAAGGACACTTTAGTGGGAGCATGGAGACTGGGTTTTAGTCCTTGCTCTTTTGGGTTGTTTCTTGTTTTTGTTCCCTGACATGTAAAAAATGCAGTCCTGAAAGCAGAGGCCAGGATGGGATCCAACCTTCTCACCCCCTTCAACCCAAGTGCCCTACCCTGTAGGTCTGACTCTTCCCAGCCTAGCTAGCAGCTCTTTGTTTTGGAATTGTGGGTTTTAACCCTCCTGTTGAGGAGGCCCACTTCCTTTGTTATTTAAAGGGTGGGCATTGGCAGTACCAGCATTTAAAAAAAAAAAAAAATGTATAAGCCTTGCTCCCTTAGGCAACTACCATCAGAAGACTCCATTTAATCCTGGGTGACTGTGTAGTCCTCATTTAGTTCAGGGGCACCCTGTTTCTTATTTCCCTCAGGCTACCTATAGATGGTTCATTGCTCAGTGTGAGTTTTTGTGGATTGCCCACTGAAGGCTCCTCATTCCCTCCCATTGACTGTATATGGAGCCTATGTGCCTAACCTTTCTTTAGATTCCCTTCCTGGGGCAGGTGTCTGACTTTCACAGATTGTAAAGCCCAAGTTGCAGGTATCCAATGGACACAGGTTGTAGCCGTATTGGTCTACAGGCAAAAGAAATCCGAACTCGTGGCAGAGGTCATATCTCTTATTGGACCAACTAGATATTTGCAAAAATAAAGTCTTTATTTTTGCAAATATAGCTTGCAAATAATGGGTTTTTTTTTTTGCAAATATCTAGTTGGTCTAACAAAAGATACCTCGACCACGAGTTCTGGTTCCAGGTATCTAAGGTGCATTTAGGCCTAAGTCCCTAGTCTTATGTGTCACTTGGGTGAGTTCAAACATTTTACTTCTGGTGATTTAGACATGCAAGCATACTTTGAAGTGTTTGACTCTGTACGGTTACTATATTATGGCAGATTTTATTTCTACAAATTATAAATAAATGTTTAAACAAATTAACAGTTGCAAATGGTTTTAATTGTTTTGTAGCTTCAATTTGTTGCATAGCCAGTAGTGTCCAATTTTACTTTTAAGAAAAGTATTTTGACAGGTGGTCTCTTGTGATCTCTTTTGGGTTTTGTTGGTTTTTTTTAATCTATATGCTTTGTTGTGTTGTTTTCTGTAGCTTCATCCATTGCTTCTTTCTGAGTGCAACACTTTAATCCTGTTTCTAATTTTGGGTACGCTTTCTGATTAGGAGGAGCAAGAATATGGACTGCCCTTTAATATAGTGCCCAAAATGTTCTTGAATTTAAAAAAATGACTGGCAGTGTTTAGAGCATTGAAGGATGTTATAGAAAGTGCTTGGGTATTCTGAATGCATCACCACTATGTTCAAAAGCCAGTCATAATTTTATATAGCTTTTGTGAAAAACGGTAATTGTTTTGATTGTTTAAACCAGTGGTTCTCTTAGCTTTCACTTGGGGTTTTCTAAAATATTTTACTACAGAAAAATAATAGAGCTATTCTTCTGTTGCAAAGAACTTTGGACAGACCACAACAGGTCAGGATGTTTTTAACACTGTGAAGTCCTGTGTCAAAATTCTGGGTTTATCTTGTGAGTCACATTTGCTCACCTAATGGTGCTGATATTTGCAATACTCTTGAAAGGATCTCAAGGCATCCTCTAGCTGCTGATAGATCTGAAAAAAACAAAACAAAACAGTGGAAGAGGAAGTACATCAGTTTGGCCCAGCTCCTCAACTTCTGTATAGATTGTGCGCTTCAGCGGGGCTTTTTGGGGCTTTTATCTAATCGCTGACTGAATCAGTGCTAGATGTGAGGGTGCACCAAGCTGAAAGTAAAGTATCGTTTTGTTTTTTGTTTTCACATCTGTAAGCAGCCTTTGGTGCCACAGCATCCTGATTTAGAATTACTGCTTTACCCATGACACAACATCCATCCATCCATCCAATTTTGTTACGCGTTTATTGCATTAACAAATGAGAGTCTATTTATGCTAGTTAACATGCAGTAGTCTTTAAAATTAGGATTTCCAAACAGCATGGGAAGTAGTAGAGTTATGTGGCTTTAGACTTAAGTAAGAAGTATGAGGGATAACATGTTTTCAATTGCAGTCAATAATT